ATCCTTACAACAGATTGCATTTTCCTATGATTATATAGTTGGTGCGCATGATTCTTTCTTAATCCTTGTTATATTCTGATGCTTCGAATGTGGATTTACTGTCTTGAAGTTCAATTCGAAGTAACGGAGTGTTTTCGGTTGCTATTTTGATCTTCATATAGGATTGTCGGTGATATTATGTTGCACATTTTTCCGAATAAGAAACAGAAAATTGTGGAACCTTTTGGTAATATTGTTTGAAAGTACGTATGTTTCTTTGCTTTTTGAAGTATTTGTTGTTAAAATTGTGAATGTTTTTTCATTTTGTCATTGTCGAGGCTTATTTCCTTCTTGTAACCTTCATCACATGATAGTAATAAATAATATATATGTATGTTAAACGTATTGTTTATGAACTAAAATGCATCTAAATCACTATTGCAAAATATTAGTTTAACATACTTTTATTTTTTGATGAAATTGTTTTTTGCTTCAAAAAAGTTGCTTCAAAAAAATAAAAAAAAAAGCATTACCAAATTGTACCTTGGTCATAGCGATATCTGATTTTTATTATTTCAAATCTCCATGGCGAACTCACTTAAATAATCCCTGAAGATCCAATTATTGTACGTAGAGGGAGACACATAATCCTGATAACAAAGGAGTATAAAGTAATATGTCTATACTTTGTTTTGCTATAATCTGACTTTGAAAACGGACATTTGATCATTTATGATAGTCCTTATTGGTGCAGGGTCCATCAAAGAAGTTGATAAGGAAGCAAGAGTGATGAATTTTATTGTTGCACAAGAATGAACTTTGGCTGCTAATCAATTCCATAGGGAGGAGTAGGCAGTAGAGCAATAGAGGTATCCAAAAGGTTCATTTCCTAATGTTTTTTTACTTGGTTTTTGCCTCCTGTTGTTACTCTGTTATCAAAGAGGCTTGATTCTTCTCAAATTGTTGGTTTCCTTCTGGGAAAAAAATGGCATGCATAGATGATCTTGCATCAATACCAGTTAAGTGTCGTAAAGAGAATAAAATGCGAGGATATGGAGGGAGCTTACGTGACTATTCTCAACAAATATGGTAAGTGTCCCTCCTGTCACTTTAGCCATTGTAGTTGTTTATGTTGGAGGGTGATATCACATGTCAATAATGTTGTAGTATTATCGTTACAACAAATATTTAGTAGGTAAAGTGGGACCTTGCAACCATGCATTCTGCTGGTGTAGTCATTGTTAGATGGTGAACCATTATTGGCTCCCATTGAATACCTCCTCTCTACCTTTAGTTCAAAAGAAAATTTCATCAGAAGCTCAGTTAGGCACTCCCTTTTCATACCCAACTTTTCTGCTTATTTCACACCATGGGAACAAGAAAAGTGAGAATATACCTAATGCTACCCTCTGAATTATCTTGATTTATGTTTGACAGAGGGTCCAGGAAAAGTTAAGTGAGGCCACCTACACTGTTCTTCGAAAGTTTTTAAAATAATAATTGAAATGGATGGTCACCACTTGGTTTGATCCCCATTGATCGAGGATGCTGGGAGAGCCTATTTTAGTTACAAACCTAATCTTTAGAATTATTTGGGGAAAAAAGATCATTTACCACTGCCACTCTAACAGAGAATGAACAATTTTTGGATATATAAACACAGTGAAGAAGTATTTCTATATCAACTGCTTAATGTGTCCGTTTTACTTACCAGGAAAAAAATGTTTCCAGTTTTACTATTCTGATTCCAGGCCTGGCTTATGGCTTAGATTAAGGGAACTTGGCAGACCCACTATTGGGATGTTAGGATGATGAAGGGAAACACTCAGAAATTACCAATGTCAGTCACAATTTATAAGATAAATTCAAAAGGGCACTCAAATGTATATGTTGTGTGACAATACCCATTAGTAAAAATATTGATACGATTAGAATTTACAAGTAGGCTAGCTAGTTTGTGCATACTTGATAGGACTCCCCCATAGAGCACATTTGCAACTTGCCTAGCAACTCACTGATATGAATTTGGCTCACTGATACTTGGCTGATGCAATTTTTTAGCAGCAAGCTCTATTCTTAAATTATACCCTTAATGTCATTAAAAAAAGGCTGCCATGGAAGGATAGTGAGCAATCTGTCAAGGATGGAAGGCTCTCCCCTTGCTAATTTCTTCCTTTTCTTGATCCACACCACATTTTACCGTTAGAAATGATTTTAGAACTTTACTCTTCTTTTTACTTCCTTTATTCCTGCAGAATCATTTCTGTCAAAACTCCTTTTAGGATAACACATTGGGTAGGGGGCCCATAGTTGATAATGTGTTCCTCTTAGGCTTTAGTACATTCAAACATGGAACAGTCACTATAGAATCAACAAAAAGAGATAAAAGTTAAAGCAGTTTCCATCACATGAGAAAGCAAAAGGGTGTGAAAGATTCTTTTTAGCTCCAAAACAGGTTATTGTTATTGTCATTGCTCAAAACCAAACGGCAGGTGAGGGTAACATGTAACAACACTACATTTCCGTAGGGTACACCTTGTTTTTAAATGAATGTTTTTTTTTATTTTTTTATCTATAGATTATTTTTTTTCTTGGTGACGAGGAATCATTCGGACTACAAGTTTGTTGGACGCACGCTATAACCTTTGGATTATACTTAATCACTCAAAAACATGCATCAATTAAAGATCGTTTTATGTGGCCAATGAAACCCCAACTTAATATGTTTGGAATCGTTTCATCCATTGTTGAACCAACTCGTGAGTTTTGTGGATTTCTTGGCTGATTTACATATTTATCTGAATGCGAATCTGAGAAGAATTTGGAAAATATATCTTCAGAAATTGTATTTAAAGGCAGAAGACTTTTAATTCCGGGACAAGCTTGTTCACTCCTCAAGTCTGCATGCATCCGTATCAAAAAATCCATGATGGCGACTGGACAACAACCACCCAACCCTCTTATATATCTTCCAACATCCTGTACAGATTGGCATAACACCAAAACAACATTAATTATCAACCGCTAAAATGGTTAGAAGAATTCAAGTCCACCAAATTGTCTGGATAACAAATTGTTGGTACAATCCAGTCACTAAAATTTCTATATAAAACAGATGAATTGTCAAATATCTACGCTAAATTGGCTCACACTTTGAATCTTAGATGTTTCGTTCTCCATTTTCTACAAACTAACATATTGTATTTATGATAACATTTTCCATTGAATAATCTTTCTCTTGATGCAAACATGTTAAACCTACCGAAATACTTATTTATGTTTTGTTTGACGTGATGGAAAAGTGAAAAAAAAATAAAAAATTGGAAGGATAAATAAAATATCATAATTGGTAAGAATAAAAAAAAGAATGATGAAAAATTAGAAGGTTTAATTTTCATTCCATTTTACAAAAATCTATTTCTCCCAAAAATGGGAGAAACAAAAATAGATAAAACGTTTGTTGTGCAAGCTTAAACAGGGGCTAAGGAAGCAAGGGGCCGGAGGGGGCTGTACCCACCCCCAAAAAATAATAATTTATATGTATGTTTTGTATATTTATTTGGATACCTTCAATTAGGCCCATCCTAATAACTTAAAAAAATAAAATTGGCTTCATTCTTTGGCCAATAATGGAGGGGAGAAGAAATTTGTTTGAATATTTGAAATAAAAAAAGAATATGAGTCATATTAAATCTCTTAGAATCAACAATATAAAAAGAATAATGTTATTTGAACTTAATTATTCATAACCATTGAATTGACAGTAGATCTAAATATTTATTGGAATGTACAACTAATTTAATGGTTGTGATGGACTACGTCAACAAATTATGTTAATAAATTAAACTCTAGCAATTTGATAAAAAAAAAATAATAGTTGAGTAAAAAAACCCTTGCCCACTCCATTGTTATTTTCGATGACATTAATATTGAAATTATCATGAAACACTTAAATTATTAAGACTTTTTTTTTTTTTGCAATAATTATGGGTCAATTATAAATGCTATAATTAATCTTATTTTTTTTAAAGGGTTATAATTAGATTGTGTAAAATAGTTTTTGACCATTTTATGTTTAATTGAATAAGTAATGGATTCCGATAAATACAATAAACCACAATGAAATCAATGATATTTGATTTTTTAGTAATTGATCAAATTTATATTTTAAATCTATATAACATTGCTCTTATGTTTAAATATTATGTTATTAGAGTGTTTAGGCTTTAAGTATTAAAGATGATATAAAAAACATAAATATATAATATTATTTTTATCTATTAGAGAATAAAAAAAAACTTGTGGTTAAGTATGCCCACTTTAAAACCTATTCATGGCTCCACCACTGAACTTAAATATAAGTTATTTATCTATTACATAGTATGTATATATTAATTTCAAACATAGATACAATAATAAAATATGTATTTATATTTTTTTTTTCCTATCCTTTCACTTTCTATTTCATAAAAAACAAAAAAAAAAAATCAATCATTTTTACCTTCTCTCTCTTATACCAAACATTAAAAAGGGAAGGAATAACTTTTCTTTTTTCATGAAGGATAAAAAATGTTTCTCTCATAATTTTCTTACTTCTATCAAAGATACCNAAGGAAAGGAATAATTTTTCTTTTTTTATGAAGGATAAAAAATGTTTCTCTCATAATTTTCTTACTTCTATCAAAGATACCATTNTCCTATCCTTTCACTTTCTATTTCATAAAAAACAAAAAAAAAAAATCAATCATTTTTACCTTCTCTCTCTTATACCAAACATTAAAAAGGGAAGGAATAACTTTTCTTTTTTCATGAAGGATAAAAAATGTTTCTCTCATAATTTTCTTACTTCTATCAAAGATACCATTAGTCTATGATATAGAAGTTGATGCAAACACATGGCCCAGAATTGAAAGCTCATTCCCCACTCCTATGGTGCTTAATTCTCTATCAAAAAAGCAAGATGGTGACTTGCCAACAAACAGTACAATCCACAACTCACAAACGCACTCAAATCCTCACAAAAATATCAACAACTAAGTTCTCATACAAAGCCATCAAGCAGTACAGTACTAAGCTTTTTGACATTTTTTTATATAATTTTTGTAAAGAAAACATCTGGTTCCACTTCGTATCCCCAGATTTGTACATCTTTTTCTCTATGAGTACAAATATCATTTCACACCTACAGAAGAGGAGTAAAAATATCTCATACTTCTTGTACTGATCGTAAAACACCATGAGCAGCACAACGTTGAAGACCTTGAAATCGAAATTCGAAATATACATCTTATGAAACTCGAAAAGTAAGAACAATATCAACAATAGGAACTGACCTTCTCTTAGAAATTAACCGAGTAGTAATAAAAAGCAGAAGAAGGCACAACACGTTTTGATTTTATGAGGCCTTCTTCGTCTGCTTTTCATTTTGTTTTGCGTGCGAGATCAACATATATTGTGGCATCTCCAATCGAGCCTAACCTCACCGTGACCCAGAAAGTGCTGACTAGGCTTACGAAATGTTACGATGTGGCTGCTCACCATGAAGGCGGTTACACGCTCAGACACTCTAATATCATCCATGTTCAGCTCATGCAATCGCTGCACATATTCCGGCACATGCACTAGGTCCCACACCACTCCTACCCCACTTGGCTTCAAAACCCTCACCACCTCCCCCAGTACCCTCATCCTCTCCGCCGCCGCCGCTGCCGATTTCTGCCCAAACTCCTTCCCTACCGTGTGGACAAACGCAGCGGATACCACCACGTCGAATGAGTTATCACCGAATGGCAGTGTCCTGGGGTCACCCTCTCGGCACGTGACGTACTCTTGAACTCCTTCGATCCCAGCGGTTCGGAGCGTCGAGAGGGTCGAAACCTTCTTCATCCGGGTCGGGTCGAGACCGACTACTCGGCCCGAAGAGCCGGCTTTCTTCAATTGCAGAGCAACCGCATTAAGAAGGATGCCGCGGCCGCAGCCTAGGTCCAGGGCGTGCTTCACCGTCGACCAGTCGTTGACGGAGCTGACCATTCGCTGGGCCATGTCCCAGCGGAGGATGACAGAGGAGTAGAAGATGTTGGCGGCGGCGAAAAAGAGACAGACGGCGGAGAGGGCTGTGACGGAGCCGGTGAATCCGGCGGCGAAGCGAGCAACTCCGCCGCCGCTGCCACCAGGAAAAAACAGCTCGAATAACGAGCAAATCGGGTTAAAGTAGAGTAAAAAGAGTATGGACAAGATCGAGAAGAGGATTGCGTGGATTAAGAGGAATATTGGGGTTTGCCAATCATCTATGCCGTAGATAGCGTAGATCTGTGTCCAATCTCTTCCTGCTTTCCCCATTTCTGGATTGGGTACGGAGAAGCAGTAGATTCCGGTGTATTTGCCGCTTGTCGTTTGATCTCAGAACCTGTAAATTTGCAATAAATGAAGCTCGTTAAAGACAGTTCAGGTGTGGAAGATCTAGTTGAAGTAGTTATGAATAATAAGGATAAGAGAATTGGAGTTTAGACTGAGAAATCGAAGTTGGGAATTGAAGGATTAGTCAGAGAGGGTATGGGTCAACCTTACAACGAAGAGTTCCGGCGGTGAAAAAGCCTCAAGAAACACTTCGTTCCTTAGGCATTGAGCGGAGCAGAAAGCCTGATTTTTGAAGGCTTGAAGTTTGATCTTTCTCTGTTGATCAAATCTGTAATCTGAATGGAGACTGAGAGTGGAAACTATCACGTTCAATTGCCACTATTTCTGAGTTCTGAGTACTATTTATCTCAGTAACGAAACCCAGATCCGTAAAAATGCAGAGAATCTTTTGGATCCCAACAAAGAAAGAAATGAAGATAGAAGAAAGTACCACTAGCATATCCTGTGTCTCTCCTCAAGAACACCGTGAACATGGATTATATACACAAGTTCAAATCAAATGCATGACAGCTTTTTTCAAACCAATCAGACAAAGGAAGTAACTGAAAGAGATAGAAAGAAAGATAAATGATTAGAAATCTGCAAAACGGCAGGTTTGTACCCACGATGACGACGAAGATTATCTGAAGTTTTTGTACGTTTACGCGTTTTGGTTCGTCGGTTTCTACTTTAAAGTTGTGAGAGAGAGTGAGAGAGGAAGATGAGTATTGGGTGTCGAGCGCAACAAACTTTTTTGCCTTCTCTGTGAACCGTGGAGAGAATGATTCAACGAGGTACCCAATGAAATGAGAGAGAGAGAGAGAGGGGGAGAGGGATTAGTTGTTGGAGTTTTGTGATTCTGCTCTGCACATTAGTGAATGTATAGTGCGTTACCAGGGGGGGAAAATCGGAGTTGGGCAAAGTCGCACCCGGCGACCTGCTCAACTAGTACTTTCTTTATTGGTATTTCAAAGTGAAAGGGTACTGAAAAGTTTTGCCCCCAGTAGAATTCAGGATAAATGTCAGGTCTATGAACCGGTGTTACATAAAGATTAGTATTTTGGTGAGAATACGAACTTATTCTAAAAATTTGAATACAATTTGTTTAAATAATTAAGATTTATTTTATCAATTAATCATATTTTTAGAGTCTGAGGAATTTGAGTCATTGATTTCAAAAGATAAAAAGTATCATTGAACCAAAGACATATTGATAATTTTTTTAAGTTATTAGTCAAACAAGTTTTGAATTTTTTTGATATTTTTTTAAACATTATTAAGTAGTAATTTTTATATGTTATAAAAATAACTCGACATGATGGAATGATATTCAAAACACTAAATTTGGCACTATAAATTTTTTTTAATGATGAAGGTACCTTTCTGAACTGTTGAACAGTCGTTCAATGGTAGACTTGGCGGTGGATTTTTTAACTGCTGAAAAAACAAGTGCTAGGCTAGCTAACCGGCTTTCTGGTTCATCCACATTTCTTCGTTCAATTTTGGTACGTATTTTAATATTGAAGCTTCCGTTTGTTCCAATCCTAGGTTTTTTTAATCGATTCTTTATGGGTATTCTTGAAATCGAAGCCAAATTTAGATATTAGGGTTAATATATTTGGGTAAGCAATGTAGACCGTGGAATTGATAAGGTCATTTTAAAATACCAATATTCAAAAAATTATGTCAGTAATTTCATTAATAATTCACCAAAATAAATTGTCAAAAGGTACTACGGAAACTCAATGGTACATCGCCTCCATGAAGCCTGCCGCCCAGCCACTGCTTGACATATGAACGTTAAAATTAGGATTGGAAATATTTTGTAAGCTAAAAACTTCTCAAATAAATTTCAACTCTAAAACGTATTTATGCTCGATTTATTTTTCTTTTCTTCATTTGAAAATCTCCTTGCCATTGATATAGGGGTATGAGAATGAACCCGTGTCATCTTATACCCCATGTCGGTTCTAGTTTTCCATGCAGACGAGATAATATTGACAAAAATAAATTATAAGAGATGGTCAAAGACGAACTTGAAATAAGAATTTTTAAATTGGTAAAGTAAATTACTGATCCACTTATGTACCTCTTTGTACGAATGTTTGTCACTTCAAAATTAGTTCTCTTAAGCCATGAAATCAACCATAGCTATTGACTTTATTGCCGGCCTATAATTGTAATTTATGCTGAATTGGAATTTGGAAGTATAAAACCGATTTGGCTTAAAGAAGATTGTAGCTTTGAACAGGCAGCAAATGTATTTTTTGTGCGGGGCAACCTGCTTTTCAAAACATAATGAGCAATGTACCGTACATATAATGGGGACAGAGACAGCTTGAACCAAACATGCCAAATTGTTGTGCACTACATAAAAGAAGTTCATGGTTAGCACTTAGCTTAGACATGACAATTTGATTTTTTCCACTTTATTCACTATTTTTTTGTTGGTGGAATTGGATTCTCTTAGGTTGAAGATTATTTTTTGTCCTTTTTTTTTGGTTTAGAACAACCACCATTTAGTTATTGAGACCCGCTCAACGATTCCAGTTGTGGATCTATAGACCAATAAAAAACTTTGCCTATCCCTCTAACCTAATAATCCACGAGAATATTGACGAATTAACCACATACATGGTGACTAATGGCAATACTTATAGTCTAACATGTTGTGTGATGAATTGACTCGATTAAGACCGGTAAAGGCGGCACATGGATTAGCCCATTGCCCGGGTGAAATTCAAATTAAAAGTATTTCAAATTTAATATGAAATTATTATTATTATTTTTTAAAAGAAAGAAAAGCTCATTTGGGGCAGATTGACGGCAGCCCACTAGAGTCTCATTAGGATTGAACTTGACCCGATGGAATTGGTCGGAAGCCATAATTTGTGGCTGGGTAGTCCTAAGCGTTCTCCACTCAAGGGACCCGTCGGCTAGTTTGTAGCCCGACCCACAGCCACTGTGTTTTCCTCCATTAGTGGTGTCGGATTTATATTCTGGAAACATTAGAAAGTCTTCAATCAAGTCCGGAAATCTAGGGACTATGTAGTCAACTGAAACTGGATGACCGGTGTTGTGATCTTTGAATTAGGTACAGTTCCAAAATCATCTTCTCCCTCTCTTTTGGCTTTGGATCTTTAAATCCCGGACCTACCCTTGACTTTTATTATTTTTTTCGTTTGTAAATATTTATCATTTTACACAATTTTTTTTATTTCATAATATATGTCGTTTAATAAAATTAAAACATAATTAATATTTTTTCTTCTAAATTACCCTTAATTTTTTAATACATTAAATTAGGTGAAGACTAAGTGTCTTTTATATTCCTTTCATTTTCAATACGTATTGAATAATGTATTTTAGTTTTGTGTAATTATTTTTTACTCATATTAGAGTTATTTAAAAAAAAATTTAATTTTTGTGCAAAAATCTTAAACGACGTATATTTAAAAATAGAGGGAATACTTAAATGCCTTAAAAATCCTCTTGGATTCATACTTGTATTTGTTTGCTTACAAGACGAGTTTACCCTTCTCATACCATCTTCAACAGTGCATGGAAGTGCAAACCAAGGATGCTTTGGTCAATTAGTGAAAGGGTAATTTAGTTAATTTGACCTACTTGAGTCTTTAGTTCAAAATTTATTACAGTGGGACCTAATTTCTGAAAGAAATGAGATGGCTCCCATTGCGGAGAACGCGGGATTGGCTAAAAGAGACAAAGGGAGTGGGAAGCATGAACCGGCTTTGACGGTGGTACAAATATTGCATCAGCTTGAATGAATTGTTCCTTAATATGGCCTTGTTTCCATATTGGGAGAATTGGCCTGGGCTTTTTGTAGCTTATTCCAGACCATAACCAATACGTAGACAGAGAGCACTAAACTGCTAAGTCTAGAGATGATTTATGAACTCTATATAAACTCTATCTAGAATTTTTTATTTTTTTTTTGCTATTCATTAAAAAAGGTGGGCACAATGGAGCACTCTTAGAGATTACCTCGATAAATTTTTACTATTGGGATTATGAGATCTTTGATCACATTCGTTACTTCTTTCAAAAACGAATTTAATTAGGTTAATATAGCGGTCAATTATCGAATTATAATGTGGACTTTAAGACTCAAATCTTTAATTTCAGAGTGAGAAGTTTGGTTGACATTCTATTGGATTACTTCACTATGTGGTAATTAGGAGTGTCAAACATATCAGGTTGGATCATATCATGTCGGGTTAATTTCGAATTTGTGTCAAAAATTCCAAAACTCAAACATGACATGTTTATATTAGTGTTGAGATGTGTAAACATTATATAACCTAACATGACTATTGAATGAGTTATTTAAACTCGACCTTTTTGACACGTTTAATAAATATGTCGTTTTTGGGTTAACTCACATAATATGATCTTTTTAGTTTGTATAGTATGCATAATATAAATTTGTTTAACACATAACCTGACTTCACACTAGTTCATTACCATAAAAATATCATTTAATTATTCATTCAAAATTTCAAATAATTTTTTTAAAAATAACATATCACATCTCATCAATAAAATTAACTAAAATGTATTTAAGTTTCAATCTAAAAATTAAAGTAAGAACTATACTAGTATATTGTCATAATAATGTTAAGAATTATACTGTCAATTAATATAATGGAAGTAAGAACTAATAAGTTATAATGTTAAGACTACATCAATTATATATAATAGATGAATTATACTGTCATAACTGGGTTAAACAGGTCTATAATGAATTAGGTCGGGTTCGTGTCTGAATTATGTTAATTTATTTAAAATATATGGATTAATCAAGTCAAAATCAGGTTGACCTGATTTTGACATGGACATTACATAATTTTTTTTGTATTTTAGCGTGTTGACCCATTTTAACTCATTAACTCGTTTAATTTCATGTTCAACCCATTAATTTTGTGTTTATTTCGTGTCGTCTTAACGTGTCGTGACGAAAATTGATAACCTTAGTGATTACTCTATCCAGAATTAGTTGTCTTAAATATAGTCTTAACATATTCAAGTGATAAATTAGTGCAACATAAATTCGACGCAATACGAATTTAATTATAAATTATCGTTAAATAAATTAAATATAAATTGAACAAAATTTAACATGACACTGATCTATTATGACTTAACTCTTTGTCGACAACACTACAATCTGATTTGATGCACAAGAGCATGATATTGTAGAATCTAAAAGACATAAAAAATTAGATGTCTACGGTCTTGATCTACATGTGGATATGTTTTTTGTGACTAGAACTCAGACAAAGAAAATAAAACAAAACATCTACATAATAAAACATATGGTTGTCTAGAAAGTTTAGATTTGATAATTTATATTTTAATTTTAATTTTTTAATCACAGTTACTCGGTCTATTTACATTTAAGCTTTCAACTACGATTAAAAAAAAAAGACTTACTTTAACCTATGGAAGGGATTAAGGGGGGCAAAGGATACTTCTCCCTCTTGATTGCATCCCCTCCAAAATTACATTCAAAACTGCAACCTATTTTAATTGGAAAATCAAAATCAGGTAGAAAGGTCTTAAAAATATTATCCAAGCAGACAAGGACTTAGAGACGGGCTTGCTTTGACACAGCTGTTGGTAAACTAAACACATGGTATTTTTACATTTTGGTGTAAAGCATTAGAAGACACTTCTCTTAACGCGCATTTGATTTCTTCACCATTAAAATAAGCAGCTTGAATTATCAAAGCTAGCCCCATGAATTGGATAGATCGGGCTATAGGATTAAGACCAAGAATTTTATTTAGTAATTGGGCATTGGTAAGGTTGTTCAGTTTTCGGTAAATAATATTGTATTACTACTACTTGTGAGAATAATAACTTTATATGTACGTATAAAATTCTA